CTGAACTTGAACCAAGTTATACTATTCAGTCCAATTCTGTCTCCCCCTGACGCTGTTCTGATGTTCTCATACTGATTTCTGTAGACCAGCCCCCAGTCAGAAGCTGAGGACAGCTAGGTCAGCCAATATCATACTCTTTGAAATGTCTGAAAATAAGGTATTACAAAGAGCAGATGCTGCTCTCAAGTATTATCTTTTTAACTTCACTTCGGGGAGCCTAAATTTCTGCTACTTCAGACACCTTGCACAAGTGCCTCTCTTTATACTCCATACAGAGATACGTGACTTTTTACTGATTTCAAGTGTGTGATTGAAATTCACAGCTCCGTGGATTTTAAGGCCAGAGAGGCTGTTGCTAATGCACAGCATAGCTCAGGAAACCATCTTCAGCTGCTTCCTGCTTCAAGTCCAGCAGCTGAAGCTGAACTAGGAATCTAGATTTTAGAAAAATCACACTGCAGTTTAAGATGAAGTGTAATAGTCTTTCAGGGGAAAAACTCACCAGAGCTTTGGGTGGTTTGTTCCAATTAGTAACTTCATCCAGTGGTCAAATAGGCCTAGTATTTCTACATTTTATCTACCTACAGCTTACAACCATTAGTTTCCAATAAGCTTTGTGTACCCAAGACTGTAATATCCTCTGTTATCAAATGCTTATCCTTCTTATCAGTATTTACAGACCATGATTAAGTTATGTCTTAGCCTTCTCTTGAATAAACTAGTTAGGCTGAGTCCCCTGAGTCTCATAAAACACAAGCTCTGATTGTTTACTTACTCTCTCAGATATTTTCTAAATTGTGTCCAGTTTCTAAACTTTTTTCCTTGAAGGGGCATGTTAATCAGACATGCTGCATTTCACCAGTTTTTGCAACAAAACAATGACAGTTAGTGCATGACTTTCTATAGCAAAAGGGGAAAAAAACAGATAAAAAGGAAGAAATCACAGAATGAGGGAGAAATTAAGAATGAAAGTGTTAAAAAGAGGCAAAAGAACAACTGAAAGAAAATGGAGAAGGAAGGAAAGACTCAAAAGTAGGATAAGGTAGTAGAGAAATAAGTACCTATTGAAATAGAAGCTCAGGAAGAAGCAAGAGATGATGAAAAGATCATGCAAAGCAGTGTCTATTTACGAGTATGCTTCCCTAAGTCACCCTGTCAGTTCCAAGAGGCTGACACTCACTTCTCCTACCTATTCTTCCACTCAATTATTTCAAGCAATCAGTGATTATAGTAGTAATCATTGCAAGACCTTCCTTGCTCAAGAACATACACTACACCTTCGCAGAATTTTTCAGAAGCAGAGCTCATTAGCACCACAAGGCACTAAACCAACTCAGAGCCTCTCCAAAACCCACTGCCTGTATTTCAATTGAGCTTCACAACAGTGGGACTGTGTCTTTTCCCATCCCCCTCCCTGGACATATCTGCCTTACTTGCTTCAAGGCCAGCACTGGAGGACTCAGAAGAAACAAAAGGCACATGGACACAAAGCACCACATATGGAGCTCTGGGCTCCAGTCATCAAGCCTGGGACATCTGGCTTTCTCAGGATGCCTGTGTGTTCAAGTAATTAGACCAAGGCCAGCTGTCCCCTTCTCGCTCTTCACCCTTTATGCTCCCATTGCTTCTACTACCACTGTCTGTCCAAAGTGTGTTTTGTCTGATGGATCACCAAAAGAGTAGGGGTTTTGTTGTTGTTTACCCTTTGGAAGGAGGGAGTGGAAGAAAACTGGTGAGGCAGTAAAGAGGAGAAAGGACTTTTTTGAGTACATTTCCTGAGACGCCTCAGCGTTTCCAAACAAGCTTCTGTCACATTAGAGAAAAACTTGTTTTAACCTTTATATTCTGAAATTATAATCTCCAAACACCTCTACTGGTGTACTGAAAATGCAGCTGTCAGTAGTGAACCTGCATGTTCAGAAAAGCTTACTGCTTTACAGGCAGATTCAACACTTGTATTCTGGGCCTAATTTCCCTGTTGGCAATCCAGAAGTAATTCAAGAAAATGAATGAACCGTATTTCAATCTCAGGACACTCCCTGTAGCACACTCCTTTCTGAAATCTTCCTGTCAATTTGTGCCAGAGCAAGCCAGAGCTATGGTGGGAAGCAGATCTCCCCATCATTGGAGGTTACCCCAGTGCAGCTGAGGAAACCCAGCTGAAGCTTTTACCAGTTGTGTGAAAGCAGGAGTGAGAACAGAACCAACCCTTTGCCCTCAACTGTGAAATTACATCTGTAGCTTTGCCCCAAAGCCAGGCTCCAAGGAGGCCCAAGCTGGAAGCTAGGAAAGGAACACACTGCTCCCCAGCCTGCATTTAGTGAATTAAGGGCATGACAAAGCAAAAGGCTTTCCTGTGCATCGAGCAGCCCTGTCCTTTGACAGGGCAGCAAGTGCTTGGATGATACACTTACTGCAGCTTGTGCTGCGTGGTGCCTGCCCGTGTATCATCTCCATAGCAGCAGCTCTGCTAATTGAGACCAGCTGCTTCAATTCCAAATTCTTCTCTCCAGAAATATCGATACTATGACATTATGATTAGAAAGCACTTTACCAAATGCCTCTCAATTCTACACAGCTCAGATGAAGAGCAGCTGCAGAAAGAAGGGACAGTTCCCTGAATGTACAGAATAAAATACTGGAGAAATGAAGGCTACAAGAAGCAAGTCAAAACAGAATAATGATGACAAAGAAAGCAGCCTGCTGTATATGCTTGTGCCTGTCACTTTAGATGTTGAAAGGACTGTGAGCAGACTTCTTCCTTATGCTCTAGGATAAATGGCCATAGCACTGCAGTGCTACAGCTTCATGTGGCAGGTGTACATGTTTGTCAGATCCATTTTTTCTGTCCAAGGATGGATTAAAGCAAAGTCCATCAATCCAGGCCTGGCTTGGGAGAGTAGCTGTGGTCTTGAATCATTTGGCTCCAGGGTCTGTTCTGCACAGCCCACTGGCAAAGAAAGTCACTGGAACTGATAAGCTAGTGGGAATGCCACCACACCACCGTGACTTGGTTTCACTGTTGGCTATTTCCCTGTGGCTGCTGACTCCACACAGCAAGCTGTCAGCTGGATGCTTCACACTGGTCACACTGGGATTGCCAAAAGCTGCAAGCATTTCTCCCCTTTGGCCAGACTGGATTAAGCTGGCTAACAGTAGAGTCAATTCCAAATTCACTTAGAAGTCTCAGGCATTCCATTCCTGAAAAGACATCTGGTTACTGAATTTATGCAAGAACTGGGCAAACCACTTCAATCCCATCTGTTCCAACCTTCTGAGCAGAGAGAACAGAATCCTTGAAAGAAAACTGCACCAAGAAGAGTCAGAAAACCAGAACCATGATACAAAGTATGATTTCCTCCTGAGGAAGATGCTGTACAATCTCACAGAAAACACAATTCCTGAAAAGACATCTGGTTACTGAATTTATGCAAGAACTGGGCAAACCACTTCAATCCCATCTGTTCCAACCTTCTGAGCAGAGAGAACAGAATCCTTGAAAGAAAACTGCACCAAGAAGAGTCAGAAAACCAGAACCATGATACAAAGTATGATTTCCTCCTGAGGAAGATGCTGTACAATCTCACAGAAAACACAGCACGCTTCAGCATGTGGCCGTGTAAACAAGGGGCCTAACACACCGTTTCACTACTCAGATTTCATACTACAATCGAGGTAATGCAACACAACTAAAGCAGAGAGATTGCTTTGCTATGCTAAAGATTTGCCTCCTACTCTGAAAATCAATGAGGTAAATAAAATGCTTTATACAGATATCAGACAGTGTCTCTCAGCTAACAAAATGCTCATGTTTTTAAAAAATATTCCTATTATTTTACTCTGGAAAATATTCAGTGTTTAGTGTCTCATTCAGATTTTACCATTTACACACAGTTGTCCTACCTATTTCACTTTCTAACTTTTTGTCTATATTAGAAGCCTGTTTGAATCTACAGTACTGCAGGAGAGGGAATACATCAATGAAATTCCAGAAAGGTAAGTCTGAATACATTACAATTAAATATAGACTTCCAGAATCCTTCTCTGAAAAAAAACAACTTACACAGTATGTGTAACATTCACTGACTGCATATTGGCTTAAAGTCCCTTTTCTTTCTGCTCCAAGTAAGGTTGCTGTACCTACTTGTTCTGGGAAACAGCTGACACAGAAGTCCATATAGGAAACAGCAGTGTAAAGATATATGCTCTGTGTGCTTATATAGGGAAGTTACCTCAGTAAAGTGCCCTATGCTGCAAGGAAACCTGTTAATTTGCAGGTGACAGTGTGATGGAGTTCTGTTGATTGCAGTGCAGTTGTGTTCCCTTCCATCAAGCTGAATTTAGCCTTTCTAGTCACCAAATCACATGAATAAACCGTTATGCATATATTTATTTTATTTTTAGGTTTCCAAGATCAATCAATGACATTCATGTGAGGAGAATCACAAGGCTAGGTAAAAAACAAACCAAGTTCTTCTGAATGCTACAGTCATTGGGACCATTGGGACAAACACCTTTATGGTTTCCAATGGCTCTGTGGACTGCAAACAGAATTATAACAGCTTTAAACAGCACAGACACTGGCACATCAGGTCATAAAGAACCATTGCAGCAGAGCAAGCAGTAGGAGTATTCAAGCAACTGATTAACCAGCCTCTGTTAAATCTCTTCACAGTGACATTTGTACACCTCAGACTGCAATGTACCACAACTACACCACTGCAGTGGTGGAAGTCAGATGCCCAACACACACTTGCCTCAGCAGCAGAGCAACAACTCTGCAGCTGACCATTTATTTTGTTCACAATGCACAGGCAATACTCCCATTTAATTTCAGCTGCCCTAGCCTCCCCCATAACTAAATTATTGTTATTATGCTCTGCATAATCCTAGTACTGACAGGGATGTTTGTTATACGTAATTAAAGATATTAATTTTGCATGGAACAGAAGACAGAGCCAGGAACTTCATTTTTTTTCAATCTCCCATTAGAAAATTACCTTCATTAGCACCGACTCACTGAGCTTCTCTCTGTTGACAATTTTTATCGCAACCTTCTGACATGTGACACAGTGAACCCCCAACTTCACAAGACCTGCAGGAAAAATAAAGGAAAATAAAAAGGAAGAATTGGTTAGAGACAGTCGCTGTTGAGGTTTTTGCTATTAGAACACTATCCAGCAGTTGGCAACTTATATGCAAACAAATTCCCACTCCCCCAGCCAGATAAGGTCTTATGAGTAATGAAGACCCTGCAGCCCACATTGAGACCATTTGGCAGTGAAGCCATCAACATCCTTAATGCTCCTGCAGTTTCTGCCATTAAAACTGTGTTTTTGTGGAAGCACTGTATTCCAGCTCTCACCACTCAAAGCATGTTCTACCAATAAGAAGTTCTGGCAATAGAACTGCACTGGGATAAGGGGTTTTTTTGCCAACAACTGACATCAGCAAAAGCTTAAAAATCAACTAAACTAGATGGCCAAATATGTGTAGACATGGCTTCTATGTTTCTCTGGCTCCTTCCAAAGTTCTCACAGTTGTAATAAAAAGGTACTTAATTATGGTTTCCCTTACTGTTTTAATTTACCCTGCTGGGTGAAGTTATTACGGTGATGAACACCATTGTGGCATGGAGGAACAGCAACATATGCTGATACAATTTTAAGCTCTTCTTATTTGTTATTACTTACTATATCCTTGTCCTCAAAAAATATAGAGTGCTATTAAGTGACTATATTGGCAAAAGGATATGGACACCCCTGACAGGGTCAAGATGTCTGAACTATCACCAAAATGTGGAACAAAACCCCAAGACTTAAGAGAAAGAGGTAAGTAACAAACATGAAGCATTATCTCCTGCAAAATTTTCATCTAAATCTGCTGACTTGCATGAAAGTACATTGAGATACCTCCCACAAGTGAGTTTAAGATGGTCCCCTGAGCTCTCAACTCTACTGCCATTAAGAAAATTTGTACCTGGAAAAATTGTACTTTGTAGGTTATTCAAGTGACATCTTGTTTGCTTCAGCTTTTACTCTTGTCAAACATGCACATGCAGCGCAACACCTGATAGGCTGGATCCCATCCCACTCCACACACTATATGCCAAATTTCCATTTAGTTTAATTCAGTTCTAACTGAAGTAAGAAGAAATGGCACCTCCCTGGTGTCATTAAGACCTGCTGTGCTTCACAGAGCATTTATGAGTAATGACGTTTCACAGTAAGAAAAAGCCTAACTTAGCTCACAGCTCCTAGGCTGGGTTGCAGTTCAGCGAAGCCCGTCCCCTGATACTAACCACAAAGCCAAACACATTGCTTTATCTGGAATTTGGACACAACAGGTTTGCAGTCCAGTGAAACACTGAACACAGGACTTCACACTTCTTACTGAAGGGTGAAGATACAGCCTTACTACAAACTGGCCCCAGTGAAATGAGGTAGAGCTTCATCAGGGACTCCAGCAATCTCCTGCGGGTACTTGTCCATCCTTTTGCGACATCATAAATTTGAAACTATTAATCACTCGTTATTATATCAAGAAATAAACCATCATAAATTTGAAACTATTAATCACTGGTTATTATATCGAGAAATAAAATCCTGACTTGCTTCCAGTCACATCTCTTTTGCTCAAGTGTTCTGGATATTTCTAGTCATATAATTTCTCAGTCTCATCTGGTTAAATGCTGACATTCTCACTTTCAGCCATGACATAAACAAGTCACAAAAATTAAGAATGCAGAGCACTGACAAATCCATTTGAAACTGTGTATAGCAATAGCCTGTCCTCTGCCTGAAGCAACCGAAAGGCACAGATTGGGGAAGATGCTGTGATGTCCAGCCACACTCACTCTTCTGTTTTTTTCCTATTCAATAAATTTATAACATTAACCATAGCAGTACTGGCTCTACGTTCACTGTTCAGGGCAGCTGCAGCCTTACTTATGCCTCTTCCCTTTGGCTTTGTTCCGTGCTTGGATAGTGGCTACTTGGCACCACCTTGTTGAAAGCATGCACTGTTTCAATCTGTGCTGATTGCTTCCTGCTTCTAGCACAAATCACAGCTCTGCATCACTCTCACAGCACAACCACATCACTTTTTGCATCACTCTTAGTTACACTTTCAAATCTCAGCAGAACTTCCAGCTCAGCCCTTTACACCCAGACTCACAGGATCTGTGGTACGGTGCTGTACTGTAACATGGTGCAGAACAATTATTTTCAGAGGACAATGAAGGTGAAAAACAACTGTAACTGGTTCTTCACCAGAGATCCACCAGGCTTTTGGTACCTTGCCCTTCAGGATTTGATTTCAAATCTTGTTGCTCCCAAATCAAGACATTTGTCCCACTGAACCTGGCTGATTTGTAAACTATTTTTCTTTTGAAGCACACAGTCACAGAAGGGTTTTACCCATAAACTTCTGGGACACTGTCAATGCTGTGCAGGCTATTATTTTATCTAGCTATTAACCTACCACAGAAACTCAAAAATTAGGATTACCATTCTGTTTATGCCAATAAAAAGTTAATTGACTGTCAGAAGACACAACACACTTTGCAAAAATCACACTGATACTGAATCACACTGATTTTATATTGAATTAAATTCATTGACCTGAAGAAGTTGTTCTTGATTTACACCGTGGTAGCAAAGGGCAGAATGAGAAAACACATATGAGATTCAATGCATCTTTCCTCTTCTCCTGATTTGCATTTTAAAAATCAAGAAAAAATATGCACTGTCACCACTGTTGAGTGAAGAGAGAACTTCTAGACAACCCTCTGAACAGTCCAAGACAGCACTTTTCACGATACTAAATTCACTGAATGTAATTTTAGGATAAAAATAAGGCATGTCGCTCTGCCTTGCTTCCTCACTCCTCCCCTAACCACTTCCTTTTGACATCTGCATGTGAGCCTAACGGAAAAAAAAATAAAATCCCTCTTAGTAAGTCCATCTATAGGGTAACACCCTCCTGCTACTATACGAGCCTAACGGAAAAAAAAATAAAATCCATCTTAGTAAGTCCATCTATAGGATAACACCCTCCTGCTACTATAAGGAGACCCTAATTGAGCTTGGGCAGGAAGGGTTTGTACTCAGGACTTCTGTTCCTGTCCTGTAATTCCAGTCAAGTGTGCAACTACTGAGAGATGACTTACATGTGGATTTGAAATCCTGTGGGCTTGTGACTCTTAAGAAGCCCTTTTACTGACACAGAGAAGATAAAGCATTCAAGCTGCATTATTTATCTACATAATAACAGACCTTACAGAGAAGAAGCACCAACTATGTGAATAAGCTGCTGAGCTGTTCTTGAAAAAGTGGAAGTGGCAGAAATGCCTGCATAGAAACAAGTGTCCAAGGTGTGTTTACAGGGTTGCAGGAGAGGATGTGCATCTTCCAGTTTTAACTGTCCTGTACATGAAGCTGTTAATGAGCACCTCAAAACTATATAAATCCTAAATACAAATGCATCAATAAGCTAGGTTCTTATTTGTAAAGCTTAGCTACACATTCAGGCCAGCACAGATACCTGTGTACCTGTGTCTTCCCCAAAGGAAAACAAACAAGGCTGCTGCAGCTGAGAGGATATTTTGCACTGGCTTGGCTTAAAAGCAAGTCTGCCAGGCAACAAATAGAGTTTGAACTAGTCAGCTTCATGTGTAATTAACCCCTCAAAAGCAGGCAGGTAACCTTCATGACTGTTCAAGTTAACTCTGGTCTGTCCTGACAGAAAATCTAAGATGCTGTGGGAATCAACCACTTGCAAGTTTCCCTCAACCACCCACATAGTTGTCACACGCTCACTCCTTCAGGCACACTTCAGGTCTCCATCCATAGGTTGTTCTGGGGCCTTGTGCACACTGACAAGCTGGGGCTTTCAAACAGCTTGTTGCATCCTATGAGCTGCAAACATTGGGCTGCTTTTAATATTAGACACTGAACTACATCAGAACCAGTCCTATAATTTCAGGTTGGGGAGTAAAGAAGAAAACATGAACACACTGAAGATCAAGGAGATATGTAAGCTAACATTATCTTTTCATTCATAGTTAAAAGCCACAATTTGAAACCAAATAAGCATGAGGAACCTCAGATGATGCTTGGGAAAGATGGTGCTGAAGGAAGAGCAAAGGGAAGCATATAGGCCTGACAGCTTAATGCTGTTGTGACCTGCTAACAACCACGTCTGCACATTTTGCTACTGGTAAACTCCCACACTGTAGATGCTTAGAGATACACAGATCTTTTCTGAAAAGGACAGGAGCTTATGTGATGAGCAAGGGACAGATTTAGATCAGTTGGAGAAGTGGACAGCCCACCCTGAAGCAATACAGAGAGAAGATTCTTCCTTTACCCGAGAAGAATGTTCTGTGTGGATGGAGAAACAGAAGCTTCCTCCTCCAGCTGAGACAATATATTTATTCACTGTGAATCCATGGCCAAAGCAAGTCATTCTTGTGCCCTATACTGTAACTGGCAATGACTTCCATGACTTTTCAGCCAAGGACAGGATTTGAGAAAAGGCTAATTTACTTTTGCCATGCATTTTGTGTAGCAATTTTCTCTCACACAGACTGAATAAAACACTAAGTTTGGAGCTGGTGCTAGTTCACATCCACTTTACTGGTGTGTAAATAGTAGCATCTTACTAATGATCCTGTTATTACAACTCTTCATTAGAGAAAGAAACATTCTAGGAACAAGAGAGTATGTTTTCAATACTATCCAAACTTGAAGTCTACCAAAGACACCGATCTGGAACAAACTGTGATTTTGAGAGAGAGAAACGAATTGTGAAACACCACTATTGTTTAAATATAGAGTTTATGCTATACTCATTGTTAGTAATGTTCTCCCAGTCTTCCAGAAATGTTAAACACAAGAAACCTGCTATCTTGATTTTTAACCATGAGGTCAATAACTGCTTCAAAGAAGCGGAATGAAAAATTAGGTACATTTGCTGCATTTAATACATATGATTTTTCCAAAGGTAAGAGGAAGTCCTTAATTTTCTTTTAAAATAAAACCAACCCAGTGCCCTATTTGTAGGTATTGATAAATTTCTGTAGTAGGGAAA